TTTGTCTTGAAGCGGAAATGCACCCGAAACGGGTGCCATGTGGCAAAGACTGCCTCAGTTCTCAATGTTGAATCCCTTACTGTTGAAACAAAATGCCCCCCCAAATAGATGCTTTTTATGTCAAAGTTGTCTTTTTGACTCTTTTTTTTGACATCATGCCCTCAACATGGATGCCTTTTGTGTGAAAGGTGTTGTCAACTCTGATTTTCTGTTTGATACAATGCCCCCGAAATTAATGTTGTTTGTGACGTGTTCAACGTGACACCCTTTTTTTGGTTAAAACAAAATGCGTCCCGCAACGGATGCCTTTCAGGACAGATGTTCTCAATGTGTCATTGCAAAATACCCCTGACATGGTATCTCTTGACAGAGGTTGTCAATGTAAGACCCTTTTTTGGTTAGGGCAAGGTGCCCTCAAAATGGATGCCTTTCAGGACAGATGTTCTCAATGTGACATTGCAAAATACCCCCGACATGGTATCTCTTATGACAGAGGTTCTCAATGTAAAATCCTTTTTTGGTTGGGGCAAAGTGCCCCCAAAATGGATGCCTTTCAGGACAGATGTTCTCAATGTGACATTGCAAAATACCCCGGACATGGTATCTCTTATGACAGAGGTTGTCAATGTAAAATCCTTTTTTGGTTAGGGCAAAGTGCCCCCAAAATGGATGCCATTAGCACAGATGTTCTCAATGTGACATTGCAAAATACCCCCGACATGGTATCTCTTATGACAGAGGTTGTCAATGTAAAACCCTTTTTTGGTTAGGGCAAAGTGCCCCCAAAATGGATGCCTTTAGCGCAGATGTTCTCAATGTGACATTGCAAAATGCCCCCGACATGGTATCTCTTATGACAGAGGTTCTCAATGTAAAATCCTTTTTCGGTTAGGGCAAAGTGCCCCCAAAATGGATGCCTTTCAGGACAGATGTTCTCAATGTGTCATTGCAAAATACCCCCGACATGGTATCTCTTATGACAGAGGTTGTCAATGTAAAATCCTTTTTTGGTTAGGGCAAAGTGCCCCCAAAATGGATGCCTTTCAGGACAGATGTTCTCAATGTGACATTGCAAAATACCCACTGTAAAATCCTTTTTTGGTTAGGGCAAAGTGCCCCCAAAATGGATGCCTTTCAGGACAGATGTTCTCAATGTGACATTGCAAAATACCCCCGACATGGTATCTCTTATGACAGAGGTTGTCAATGTAAAACCCTTTTTTGGTTAGGGCAAAGTGCCCCCAAAATGGATGCCTTTAGCACAGATGTTCTCAATGTGACACTTTGCTTTGTTAAAGCACAATGGATGCCTTTTATGACAGAGATTCTCAATGTGAAGCTCTTTTTTGTTGCAACAAAATGCTTCCAAATTTTGTAACAGACATTCTTAACTGTGAAATTCACTTTTGGCAGACAACATTCGCATGCGCAAACAACGCCTGTTTTGTTAAACAAAGGCAGGCAAATCGGCTATGGACATATATTTTCAATGATCTTCAGAGGGCTTCCGAGTTTTTCTCGTGGATCTGGCCCTGGCCCTCTGTCCCGACACTGCAAAATAATTTCGAAACACAGCCTTAGCCTGGAGGTGTGCAAACTATTTTTGGATCCCTTTTAAGACCCACCTATAGGTTCCCAAGACCGGTATTTTAGGAAATTCATCAGGACCAGTGACTGGACCATCAAACTGATTTTGGTTAGGCAGGGTATTGCGCAATATCAATGCCATATCATATGCCAGTGCAAACTACCAAACGCAACCGTATTTAAGATCGAGTTCTGCACCGATTCCTGTTTTCCCCTTGTTTTTATTTGCTGTTTATGCAAAAAGTACTTTTCGCAGAATGTTCCCTTGAGTACTATTGAATGCTGTACCCGGTTCCTTGCTCATCTCATCCATACCAGGCGCATTTACTTCATTTGAAATGATCAGCAACAATATTCGACCCCAGTTTCCCAGGTCAAGTCAAGTGCGTTTAGGCTTAGACCCAACTAAAATCTGTTTGGATGGTTGAAGACAAGAAACTACATTGCGACATCGCCCTTTTTTGGAGTCCAGTCTTCATCCTACCAACCCGATTTTTTTTCCGAAGGTAGCGCAGAGCCAAACCCCTGTGCCGTTTGTGCGACCGCCCGTAGTTTCCCATTCCGCCAGGAGACTCAGATGGGCTCATAGAGGCGTCGGCCTGTGTCGAGGCCACAGAGATGGACTTCTTTGAAGTTTTGATCCAGTCCCAGATGGGAACAGATTCTTATCTCGTTTTTTTGAGCAATTGAACCCTCTTTAAGTTGCAGGTGGGCATTCTTCATCGTGGTTTGTTCGAATAGGCAGGTCGAAAAAAGTGCTGGAATTGCGAGTTGTTGATTAGTTGTGGTTATCAACCTATATTTTCCATTTTCCATCCATCCTTGGAGTGCGGCTATAGCTCCATCGTTCAACATGCCTTGGCAAACGCTAGCTCTGAGCGACCCCTGGGACAGACAAGATATGTCAATCCTAGCTGCGACAGAATATGATTTGGGGCACTTCGAACTCGGCAGGGCTTTGAAATACAGCAAATAATCAACAACGATAGATACATTAGTTGATTCAGTTCAGGTAGCCTGTCTTCCAATAAATCCAACCCGCGATTGCCAGCATCAATTCTGAAAACAATATGTACATTATATACTTAATCAGAATCCGTCTGCCTGAAACATATATTTTGATTTTTAGGGGATCAAGTCAATTGCCAGGTGGTGGGCGGACCTCACCAGAGACGGTTGTTGTCAGGATATATTTCCGGGCAACATGGATGTATTTGAAGAGGCATCAGCAGCTAGGGTTGATTTAGGTCTTTTAGTTTTTTTTAGTTCTTTTTGAACTATCCAGATCACATGGGCATTATAGCTACAAAGACTTAAAAGAAATGGATTCAATTGGATATTTAATCATTAAAGACCCTTGACGGTGGCAGGCTCATGGCCCACTTTGATGCCTCCGTCTCCTCACCTTGAGCGCCCGAAAGCGGCGTTGCAGCATCTGATGGGCCCGAGTCATCGAAAAAGATCTGGCCGGAAATCTTCGAAGACGAATAATTTCGAAGACGAATAATTGTAGTAATCCCAAAAAGTCAAGGAAGAACAGTACCTCAGGAATTCCAATGAAATTCAAAGACTCAAAGAGGCAAGGAAGAACAGAACTTCGGATGAGGACAGTCCCAGCACTGCACTAGTCAGTAAAACTCTTCACTTTACTGATGATGTGCCGCAGCACTTTAACAGAAGATTGCACCCTGCAAGTGCCTGCATCGCAAATGCCTGCATCGCAAATGCTCCATTGTTGACACATGTATTGAGGGAACCCAGTGGCAACCAATAAGAAGTCCAAGAAGATTTGACCAAAATGGGATTATCACATGAATCTCTGCAAGCTGCTGCTGGGTGCATGTTAGATGTCACATGGGTTGCACACACTTTGCACATACAGTCCACCACACGCACTCTTGCATCAACTTTATCGAGCCATGTGAAGGGAACAGACACTAGCTATCGGTCCTTCTTTTTGTTTCGCTCGATTAAATGCTGCATCGCCGACTAACCAGCAGATTTAAGGAAGTCACAGTTTCGTTGGGTGGGGATTTCCCCTTCAAAGCCTCAACATTTTGGGATCCAGCGTTCAAACAAGGCTCTCACAGACTTGCACTGCCAAGCGCCTGTTTTGCCATTGGACGGGCCTTCCGGTCCCTGCGTCAGCCTGGGGGCCCAGTCAAGGTGCAGCAGAAGGACTGAATCAAGTGTGGCAGACGTGCTCATCTCGCATTTGATCAGGGAACAGATGCGCAGGGTGATGTTGTCATTCAAGCTTTGAGTATTGGTGGCATGTCTTGGGTGTGCTGTGCAATGAGAAAGTTCAGAATTTGATCAAGAAACATAAGAAACCCTGCTTGTGCTGTCCTCATGGGTGGCTGCTGATTGCCCCGAGGTCAGGGTTCAAGGGCTCCTTAAACCTGCCAAGCAGAGCCCGTTTCGATCGCGTTTTTCCGTGGGCCTCAGCCGGGGCCTGAAACTGGTTCTTTCGTGGTACAGATTGCTGATCAAAGCGTTGAATACGTTGAATTCACAGAGGACTGGAAAAACTCAAGGGCAGCTGCCTGGATCGGCTTTGTTTGCCTTTCGATGGCATTGAGGTCGTTTACTATGGGTTGCTGTATTGGTGCTAGAACTTCCCTGGCGGAGGCGGGAGACCAGGAATTCCATTCAGGTCCGTGAATTCCATTCAGATTGATATCACGGCCTGATAGTGATGGGTTTGGCTTAACGTACAACATAGACGCGCAGCAAATTTTGGTTTTCCAATCCGGAAGTCTTCACTAAATCAGATCATGCAAACCATCGCCGCCTCAGAAATAACACCCGAAAAGCGTCAAGATAATCTATTTGTTTCCAACAATTTCACCGGCTGTCGATTGTTTCGAGGACATGTCGCCGTTCGCGGCAAGTAATTTCGATAGCCCTCTGGCTGCCCAGACAGAGGAGGCAGAAAACGGCAGTGAATGGCACTTTTGCACGACTTCTTGCAGCGTTCAGTTGCAATTTGGAAACGTGTCAACCACTGATGGAGTTTGACCGTCTTCTTGCAAGTCAAACGAGTTTTTCTCAGCGTTGCAGATGCCTGTCCTGCAAGGTGCAGATGGACCAGCCCTCCGCATCCAGGGGAGAACTGGCAACCAAAGTGGAGATCGAGGCTCATATCACTGGGCACCGTTGCTTTGTCTGGAAATCTCATGGTATCCAATACGGTCTCTAGAGTGTGGAGGTGACGGAGGTGCGTTCTCGCCCCTTGCTGTTGCTCGCGTACTTTCGCACAACATCACAGAGACCAAATCAGATTCTGCCATCAAACTGGGCTGCTTTCAGGCCCATTCAGCGACCCATAAATTGATCACTCTGGTGTAGGATTTTCAATTCAAAGTGTTGTGAACAAGTCTCACGTGGAAGCGTGCTGAGCAGGCGGATAG